ATAGATAGATAGATAGATAGATAGATAGATAGATAGATAGATAGATAGATAGATAGATAGATAGATAGATAGATAGATAGATAGATAGATAGATAGATAGATAGATAGATAGATAGATAGATAGATAGATAGATAGATAGATAGATAGATAGATAGATAGATAGATAGATAGATAGATAGATAGATAGATAGATAGATAGATCTGTATTTGGCTTAAATGTTGGGAAATATAAATATCAAATATAAAATATTTAAGGAGACACATCTAAAATCTTGCATTGGACAAAACAAGTTGGCTCCTGAATAAATTAAACAAAGACTGTAAATTGATGCTTTTTTTTAAATAAATGTGTTTATCGTGGAGTTCGAGTCATCCATGCCACCACTGAACACAGACTGGGGTAGGAAGTGCGTCCAGCAGGATGTGGTTGAGATGCGTAAATGATGAATGACTCAGACTGTGTGAATATGGAGCAAAGGCAGGAAATAAACAATTAAAAATGCAATAATTGATTTTAGGAGCTGGGGACATGAAGAATTTCTTAGGAATGTGGCGAGAATGACAATAAAACGATATAGCTTCAGCAAAATGTTTACTGTTGAACTGAAACAGAACAAAAAAAAAAAAAAAACAGGAATTGTTCCACTCATTTCTGAATTACAAGCTGAGTGAGGAAAAGCTTTAACAATTTTATTGTACTTTTCCTTTCGAAATGTGTAGAGTAAAAGCGTCTGAGTCCACTCAAAAAAACATTTTAATTTCTAATGTCTCCTTTTTTTGTCTGAGGCAACCAACACACATCTCCACTAACCCATCACCTCAGCAGACCATTAAACGCTGACGCACATAATGAAAACCTTTCAGGGTGTGTTTTTAGCTGCTAACCCACACAGCAGCTTGAACATGGTCATTTTCTGCCTGTGGAGGTGTTTTCCTGTTCAGCTTGTTTCTGATCCTGCGCTCTGGCTTTTATTAGTGTGGAATTAACCTCCAACTGAACAGGATGCTCATCTTCTTCATCAAACTCTGGGATCAGTGATGCTTTTAGGGAGTTTTGTCTCAAAGCAGCACCTTTAATGATTCAAGGAGTGTTCACTCACAGTATGACAGCAGCAAGGCTCAGAGGAAACCCACCACGTAATCTTCTTTTTTTTATACGAATATACATTTTCCGCTCTTAAGTGTCAAGTTTGACAATGACAGTAATTACTTAAGAGGCAATGTTGCTTTTAAATGAACAAACTGTGAAACATGAAGCTCCGTTTGCTGATGAAATTCTTGTTGGTTATTTTACAAGAATTCACAATGACCACAAACATTTTTATTTGGAGCTGCTTCTGCAGTGCAGTTCTGCTTAATGCTGAACAGATTTTTGTTTTTACTGAAATTTAACTCGCAATAAGTGTCTTCATAATGCAAATAAACAATAAACCCTGTAGGTTTTTGATTATAGACAAGACTCCAACAGGCCCCTCCTTTAACCTGAATGTTACAATCAGTTTGTTTAAGATATTCTATTTGATTCTGAGGTTTATAAGTTAATCAAACGTGTAAAAATTCATAGAGGAAAATATTTTTGCATTTATTTTTATTTTACATTTATTTATACAGGGCCAAGCAAAGAGTATAAACCAATACTTCACATGGCAAAATTATGAAACAAAAAAATATATATATAATAAATAGTAATTTCACTTTTTAGTATTCCTAGTACCCCACCTCTCGCAAAGTAATGGCTGGACATGGGCACTGGCGACCCCCACGACCTAAAAAGGAAGAAACAGGTAAAGATAATGGATGGATGGAGTTAGACTGTTCCACCAGTGGACCTCCAATAGAAACAGCTGCAAACATAAATTATCATTAATTCCAGGACTCTATTTTTTATAAGTTCGGTATTCTTCATGTTACATAGTCTGCATATATTGAGGTGAGCAAATTTAACAAAGATCTTGGAGGTTTTGACATTTTTCTCAACTAAATAATGGAGCGTGACAAAATGTTTAGGTGACCAAACTCTTACAGTTTTCAACACAACATATAACACTTAAGATAGAAATGTAACTTTGGTCTAAACGTTGTAGGTTTCTACCCCAAACAGAGGATAATCTGGTCGAGAATAAATTTTAAAAAATCACAGTAAGATGTTTTCAAAACTGGGCAGCACGGTGACACAACAGAGGTTTTGCCTCCCAGCGAGAAGGTCACCGGTTGAAATCCCGGCCAGGGGGCCTTTCTGGGTGGAGTTTGCATGTTCTCTCCGTGCATGCATGTTTTTTTTCCGGGTACTCCGGTTTCCTCCCACAGACTAAAAACATGCATGTTAGGCTGATTGGTAACTCTAAATTGTCTCTAGGTGTGAGTGAGCAAGTGAATGGTTGTTTGTCTCATTCGTCTCCATGTGTCCTTGTGATGGACTGGAGACCTGTCCAGGGTGTCCCCGCCTCTCACACAGTGATAGCTGGATATGTGCACTAGTGACCCCGCAACCCGAAAAGGAAGAAGCGGGTAAAAGATAATGGATGGATGGATGGATGCTTCCAAAATCCAGAACCAGAGCTGTGCACAAAATCTACACATTCACACACTTCACATTAATCAGCTAAGAAAATTAATACAGTCAAAAAGTAATGTTCATCAGATGTTCATCTTTACACAAAGATTGTCACTGTCACAATCCACTATGTATTTGCCTCCAACTTGTTGCTGCCACTGATAATCAATGCTTAAATCCCAAATAATAAGGACACATATGGCTCAAAGGTTGCAGACCATTTCATGAGAATAAAAACGTGTTTCTTAACTGTTGGACTCATGAAAATATGTTGAAGTCTTTTTTGATTTCAGAAATATGAAATAAATGTTATATTATTGCCTCAGAATCAATAAGAAGGCCAATAAATGTACTTTTATCTTAAACATGTTAGTTAAATTTTGCCATCATGAGTAAAACACATTTGGTTTCAAATAAGATAAATAATAAACAAATTTATGGGGAGCTCCTGTCCTTTTGTCTCTCCATGGAACAGAGTTACATTTAGGTTGTTCTTAAAAAAAAAGTAGTGTTTCTAAGAACAAGCAGCACTGTATCCTTCACTGACCTGTTCATAGTGCCTTTGGCCCCCCACTAAAAATAGAAGGACACATTGCATACTTTAATATCTCTGCTTGATTTAAATGAGATGTGACTGTTTCCCTAGGCTTAAAAGGAAGTTATATGTTCTTGAGTGAGGGTGTGCTGTCCCCCCTGCAATTAGATGCTGTTGTCTGTCCCTGTTCATGCCTGCAAGTAACCCAGAGAGAGTCAAAGATGGTGATTACACTCATCTGTTGCCATAACAACTGCACCACTGTTAACGAGATGGATCAGCGACTGACTGGAGGCTGTTTTACTTGCAAACTAACCAACAGAGCAGCTCGATAATCTCACTGAAACCTGCCAAATGGATAGAAAAATTACTATTCAGCAACATCGCACAGTTAACAGCAAACGTGGCAGTAAACTCTTAATCACGTTTGACAAAAGACAAATTTTTAGGGCATGCAGGAAAACTGACAGTTTTTTCCTCATGTGCTGTGTGCTGGTCAGTAACATGAATGTGCAGCATTGTCATAAGCAAATTATTGTTTAATAATCAGTGATAGATTATCTGTACGATCCTGACATCTAGTGGTAATAATATTTATTGCATTTTCAGGTTTTGCATCATAAATGTAAATGTTAATTTTAGTTGTTGAAAAAAATCAGAGTATTATTTCATTTCATTTCATTTATTTATTCATTTCTGGTATGACATAAGTTAAATCATTTTAGATGACATGAAAATTTTTCACAGTTTTTTTATTATATAAAATAAGGTAAAACTAATTATATATTAATAATAATTAATGATCATGTTTAAAAATTATTTATGTAGTTTAAATTTCATAAGATTCATTAAATTAAATTAAAAATGTAGTATGGAAAAGACAGCAAATTGTAAATAAATTGTCCTAAAAAGCTGTTTATTTTAGGTGAATTCAACCTTACTGTATAAAGGAAATTATAGGTTTTTACATAAAATCTATACATCGTATTGATTTACGCTCGAATGAAAAGAAAAGGCCTTAAAACACAAGCGGAACTCTTTTAAGCATATATTGATTGTTGCACATCGAGTGTTTCTTCCCGTTACACGTTCTGTTGTAGCTGACCAATCAGAGGACGAGGATTTGTTACGTATTTCCGTACATGTGACGAACTGTCATGGAAGGCCTCTGAATTGTAACTCATTGCACTATAAGGTAGAATTGTTTCTTTTGTTTCGTGTTTGTTAAAAATGACGTTTTTTCTCCGACCGAGCCGTTCGTTTTTCCGCCTTCACGTGCGTTCGTGCCACCAGAGTATTTACAGCAGAAACTCAAACCCGCGGAGCGTGACAGTGGACCTTGGACAAAAGTGAGATGACTTTCGTTTCTCTTTCATTCACTCTGACCGGGATTTAGACATTTAAGAGATTACCTTGTTGGCTGTGCAGCAGTGTTCTAGCCTATCAAACATTTGTTCATGTTTGTATTTATTTATTCATTCATTGTAGGAAACTTGAAATCACTTCGGGGAGGTTTGCCAGATTTGCTGATGGATCTGCTGTTGTACAGGTACTAAACTAAGAGTGGTTTTATATACTCCTTTATTTTGTTTATTTCTATTACTGCAACTGTTTGCTTCCAGTATAAACCTATATATTATATAGTTTCGACCGTATTGGCGAGATTTGCAATTAAACATCATAACTTACAATTACTGTCATTAACAACAAAAAGTCAGCATTTTTATTTAGTTGGATGTAACTAGTACTCAGTTATAATGTTTGATAAGGTTTTTCAAGAAAATGTATTTTTTCAAAGGAATTACAAAAAAAATGTGAGACAGCAAAATCTAACATCATTGCTTGGAAAGTTTTTTTTTCAGCATTCAAAAGCTTGTGCAAATCTTTATTTTGATGGGAAAAAAAATAATGTTAGCACATCTTTTGTTGACTGGTTATAAATGAAGTTCATGTGACATCTTTCTGGTTAAATAATCAATCATCTCATAATACTATATTTCAAATTTTCTTTTCATTTGGTGCTTTTTTAATCTTCTTGGTACTCTGTATTTATTAGTTTTCCTTTTTGAAAAATGTTAAGTGTGGATGAAATAGAGTTTTTCTTAAAAAATGTTTGGGAAAACTAAAGGAGAGTTAGTTATAAACACAATATTTTTTTGTGACTACCCTTTAAAAAAAATCCCCTTTAACTGATTACTAAAAATGATTTGGATCACTTTGTCCTCTTAATACTCTTGTTGTTATTTTAAACAAAGATAAGCCTAATATTTTATTAAGAACTCTTTAAAAAGTATTCCCTATAAGGTTTTATTGTCTGTGTTCAAATGCCCAGCAGTTCGTGTGTCTGAATATGTTCAAATGGAAGTTCGAGAACAATTTAATTAGAATATATGTTTGTATTGTTATCACCTCCACTGTTCCTATCTTTGCAGTTGGGAGACACCTCGGTGATGGTGACGGCGGTAAGCAAGACTAAACCTTCTCCGTCGCAGTTCATGCCACTTGTGGTAAGTTTCTGTAGTTGTGAACATGTTTCTCTTAATGCGCTCGTGTTTCGCTGGCTCTTTAAAAATAGAATGCAATCTGTGTAGATTTTGTTGCTCATTTAGACCTCGAGACGTGGATGATGTAAAAGTGTTCTGAGTTGTGTTGACTTTGTTTGTCAGGTGGACTACAGACAGAAAGCAGCTGCTGCAGGTCGAATCCCCACCAACTATCTGAGACGGGAGCTGGGCACCACCGACAGTGAGATCCTCACCAGCAGACTCATTGGTGAGATAATCGACTGTTCACGTGTGCAGCTTTGATGCTCCACATTTAGGCTCTTTGAGCAACTCTTTCATGTTTCTGTTGATCAGATCGTTCGATTAGACCCCTTTTCCCTGCTGGTTACTTTTATGACACTCAGGTAAGTTCAATTTAACGCTGCTTTTATGCATCATAATATTGTTTTCACTTTGCTTTTGAACTTTTTTTTTCTGGTAATCTTTAATTACATTCAACTTAATGATATTTTCATGTCTACCAAAGGTCCTTTGCAACCTGCTTGCAGTTGATGGTGTTAATGATCCAGATGTACTTGCTATTAATGCAGGTAAGGGTAAATCTTAGCCATTCTCGTCATCCATATTGCACATTTCTTGTAAAATCTTCACTTAACGTACTATTTTCTTGTGTTAAAGCTTCTGCTGCTCTGGCCCTGTCTGACATCCCTTGGGGTGGCCCCATAGGTGAGAAATATACAGCTCATTTAGTTATGTTTGTATGTTTTTGCATCGGTCTTTGTGTTTACATTACAGTTTATTTGTTTGCATCCATATCTGGACTGTTTGTGTGTTTTCAGGTGCTGTCAGAGTCGGCATGGTTGATGGAGAGTTACTGGTCAATCCAACGAGGGCAGAGATGGCTTTCAGTAGTTTAAACCTGATTGTGTCCGGTGCTCCCTGCAGTCAAGTGGGTAAGGCAAACACTGTTGCACTTAATTTACAACTGGTAGTTCAGGCGTCTCTGGGCAGCACGCCTCATCCCCAAAATGCCTCCCGGGCGCTTTCAATAGCTGCCCACTGCACCACCTGGTGGTGGATGGGTTAAATGCAGAGACTAATTTCGCCATTGTATGGAAACATACAGTGCTGACATTGTGATGACATTATTATTATTATTATTTATTTACTTTCCAGTTTGCCTTTTCATCATGAGATCAGCTGATCGGATTAAGTTGTTTATTCCGTTACAACCTGGTGGCTAACATGAGCATATTCTGACCTGCTAATTTTGAATGATTATTTAAACTTGTTTTGTTTTTTTACATGTGGGTTAGGTGTATAAATTTGTCAGTCTTTCCATAATTTTAGATGAAATGAAAAACTTGATTTAAACTCATGTAGAAGCATGAAAGTGAAGCAACAAACAGATGACGAGCTTTTTCAAGCAAACCAGGCAGATACTGGTCCCAAGAGACGTGTCCATGCTAATTAAGAAAACTTATTCAAGAATTAAGTGTATTTTTCAAGGTTCAGGTTTCTTTATTGTCACTCTCATCACATGCGGTTCATGAGGTGGAACGAAATTGTGTACTCAAGATCCCAGTTACACCCGAAAATAGAAAAATCAGAATAAGAATAAGCTGTATTATCATTGTACCGGGATACAGTGAGATTATGTTCGTACAGTCGTCCGAAAGATGGGCGGAGTGCACGTTGCTGCTGCTACAAGAGCACATCCTCTTACTCTTTATCAGAATACTTTTTAGATTAAAAAAAGGTAAAAGGTCACGAGGATGGATAGTGGTATTACAAAATAAATCTCTTCACATCTTGTCCTATCAGGACACAATTTAAGACATTAAAAAACTCTACCAGCAAGCACATTTATAAACACATTACATATACATTTGACGTCAAAACGTTGAGATTTGTCCATGAAGCACTTTCAGATAGTCCTGATCAGATGCTGGTCAGCCAGCACAGTTCTGATAAGCCTGCACAGAAGTTCTCGGGGGGGTTGCGATAGATGAAGCCTTTTCTCTAGTTACCCATGTCCCAAGAGAAATTTGGTAGTCGGCTCATATCCGATGCCAAACGGGAGTCAGATTCAGATAAGCCACAATTGTTGATTTTCATCAGGCAGACTGTTTTTTTCTTGTCAGCCTTGAGTCCTGCTGGAACTTTCCAGATCCAAAAATGGCCAAATTTATGGGCGTTCCACTGATCCGTGCTAAGAGCCTTCTTCAATGTCGACTCCAACATGCTGGCGAGTCCTAGAAGCCGCAGGTGGCCTGCGATTCTCACAAATCGCTTCCATCTTACGGTTCAAAAATGTTAAGTATTTAAAAAAAGAAACGGTATTTAAGGATCTAAGGAATACACTAATAATGTAAAATAATATGATGTATTAAACAGCAGCCTGAACACGAGTCTGTTGTGAGCAGATGGGTATGAATACAACAACCTCATTATTTAATTCTTCTTACTTCCTGCAGTGACTGAAAACGGATGCCTAAATATTTCTAATGCGTTGAACAGAATTTTCAGCAGGTTTATGGGAGCTGCAGCTGCTCACTGTTGTTCTTGTACTCTTGGAATATTTCTTTAATTTGATGAGTTTTATTTGTTTAAGTCAAGTGGTTGCGTTTTGTCTTGAAAACTGCACATAATGAGAGTAAACATGCTCGTTTCTTAAATGTGAGAAATTGTTGGTGGAAGCAGTCGGTCTTTAGAAATTGGTGGACTTCAACTTTAGGCTTTTCAAAATATGACTTATTGCCATTAATATTAAATTATACCTCTTATATGCTTCACAAATTTTGTTCATGTATTAATGTAATAACGGGTAATAATTTAAATTCATTTTATTTCCACTTGCTTACAAACCAAGCAAAAAGCACCATCATTCAAATAAGTGTTCTAAGTATCCGCAGGTCCCTCCATCACCAGTTTGTAATCACTTCCTCTCCTTCCTGTTGATCAGTAGTATCATCCAGCCTGTGTTTCATGAGTTTTTGTCTCTGCCAGTGATGATTGAAGCGTCTGCTGAGAACGTGCTGCAGCAGGACTTCTGCCACGCCGTGAAGGTGGGAATCAAACACACCCAGCAGATTATTCGAGCCATCCAGCAGCTAGTGCAGGAGCAGAACGTCACCAAGCGCACGCCAGCCAAGCTGTTCTTAGTCCCGACTCAGATGGTGGAGCACATCCGGAAGTAAGACCCATGTGATGAAGAGGCAGAAGACGATAAAGCAACGGATGCCTTTAGTTGTCTGTTATTTTCAGAAATAAATTGGCAAATTTCAGTTTGGAAATAGTTTTATTAGAAAACTTGATGACTAAATACTGATGTACTGTATTTTTCAGACTATAAGGTGCACTGGATTATAAGGCACATTAAGCGGGGAAAAAAAAAGACAGTCAATTAAGTCTAACTTTATTCAGCTCATTCACAATAACCATATAAAATTGGTTAGAGGTTGGTAAGCACAACCAGAATTGCCATACTTTCTGCCGTACACGTCGCACCGCCATATAAGTCGCATGAGTCCAAATATGTCTAATAAAGTGAAACAACAAAACAACATAAGTACGTCGCTTTTCCGTATAAGTAGAATCTGTTATGCATCACCGCTGAAGCGTCATGTTTCTTCGTCACTGCTGACCACCCGGAATTGTGGGCCGGTGTTGTGCCAAAAATCGATTGGCTGCCGAATTGTGGCTGCGGGACAACTTTAATAAGAATTTAACAAGATTAACACTTAAAAACAATTATTTGTTTGCTCGAAATTATAGCAAATGTGTGTCTTAGTTTAACTTTTCCTTAATAAATGCACTTTAATGGTCATATCAGCTGCATTTCGCCTGGGCGGCGCGGTGAAATGCAGCTGATTTGACATTTGCGCCAGGAGTTCTGGAGCGAGACGAAGGTGGCCTGTATGGCAAGCCAAGTGTCTCATTAATAGTCACTTTTACCTGTTAGTGAGACACTTGTCTTGTCATATTACTTGAGCGCCCTCTAGTGGCTGAAAATGGTAGTGTTCAATATTTTCCATGTCAGAATGAATGAAATCGTTCGATCTCAGTCAAAAATTGGTTTGTAAATATGGAGAACAAACTGTATATTAGTCTCTTCAGTGTATAAGTCGCAGGGCATGCTAATTTATGCAAAAGGGTGCGACTTATACAGCGAAAAGTACGGTAATACATAAGGTGCACCTGATTATAAGGCTCACTTTTGATTTTTGTGATAATTAAAGGATATGAAATGTGCCTTATAGTCTGAAAAATATGGTACATAACGACTTGTTTTTTTGTTTGTTCTAGATTAGCGTCGGAGAAGATTTACGGTGTTTTCACAGATTTCACACATGATAAGGTACTAAAATCAATCCACTGGTCTTAATCATTCAAAACTGTGTGTGTATGTGTGTGTTTCAGAAAAATCATTTCATAAACAACAATAATCTTATTCTAATCTTGCATTAGATTTCAAGAGATGAAGCAATCAACAAAATTCGATTAGAAACTGAAGAAGGCCTAAAGGGTGATTACTTTCATTTTAGCTTTCATACCTGCCCTCGTTACTAAATCCATTGTTTGTTACGTAATCGTAAAAATGTGCGTTTTTGTTTTCCGTGTGAAGAAACGTACCCCCAGGCTGAGCCCTTTGACGTCACTGAGTCGTTCAACACTGTGACCAAAGAAATCTTCCGTAATTTAGTGCTGAACGAGTACAGGAGGTGAGGTCTAATCATCCTCAGTGTTCTTTTAAATTGGTTAAAGTTATTTAATTGATTCATTCTGTTCACTTTAAAGATGCGATGGGAGAGAATTGACGGCTTTAAGGAACATTTCCTGCGACGTTGACCTGTTCAAGCCGCTCCACGGCTCAGCGCTGTTTCAGAGAGGACAGACGCAGGTGTGCGAGTCACATTAGGATTTATTAAATGAAAGACGTAGCAGGTTTGGTTCAGCTTACTGTACCATGTTTAATGCTGTTTGGAAATAAAATTAAAAAGAGGTGACTCAGTAAATGAGAAAGTCCCGCGATTCTGTGGTGATCATTTAAAAAAAAAATTTGTTCTTATTAAAATATGTTTCCTGTTTTGTACTTCCTGTAGGTGCTGTGCAGCGTCACGTTTGACTCCCTGGAGTCAAGCGTCAAAACGGATATCATCACCACAGCTCTCAGGTACCACATAACCAATGTTTTGGTTTTGACGGAATGTCTTTATCAATTATAATGGCTGTAAATGTGCAGTCATCAGCCAAATAACTCATTTGCAACATTTTTGTCAGAAATTTTATCTGTCACTTGAAAATCAAATAAAGAATTATGTAAGTGTGAAATCAGAACGGATGAAATAAAATCTTGTTTTCTAAAGAAAAGTAGGACACTGACTCTTAAAGAAAACCAAAATGCAATCATTTCATATTCTGATTTAGGTGGTACAAAATCAGTAAACAATCATTTAAAGCTTTAAATCAGTAGCAGATATATATATATATATATATATATATATATATATATATATATATATA